CTGCCAGAGTATGAGAGTTAATTGCACTAGGGAGAATGCACTACATTTATTTGGGATGGGCTTTGGCAAGGCGTACTGTGCAGATGTTGCATTACGCATTCTCTATCAGCTAGACAACTATTCTGTGTATGCCCATGTTAAAAATGCAGCTCATCACTCTTCTGCCCTTATTTCACGTGAACTCCAAATGCACTGGGAAATGGTAGTGACCCGCTCTGCTCACAAATAGTATAGTTTTTGAAATATTTATCTAGGTCTTGAACTACTGATTCTTCAGTAAAATAAAGGGCAGAAGTAAAAAATTGAAGTCAGAAGATTGTGATTTTTCGTTTTTATAACGTTGGCAGCACATCGAATGTTAATAGTTAGACCTGGTGCTGTCAAGATTAGTATAGTGGTATTTTTCTGTAGTGCAAACAGGAACCATATAGTTTTGTTTCAGAAAGCAAACATGTTTGCTTAATTTTAGTGGTCAGGTATTGGATTGCCATATGTAGGTATTGTTTGGGCTTAATGGGCATTCTGCTCACAGTGAAGTCCAAGACTGAATGTACAGGTGCCTTGCTTTAGTTTTCTTGGAGCACTGTATTATTAATAACTGCCTTATCAGCCAGCGTTTATAAAACCAGTTTGCTGATCTGAAATGGAAGCATTTGTTAGAGATTATCTACAATATTTGTGTAGCTGGAGAAGAAGGGTGGCATGTTTATGAATGCAAAATATACATTTACAGCTGAGTGCCAGCGAATGTTCACATGCCACTTTGAATGCAGGTTTTTTGTGCGCCTGGCATCCCAGCTGAAACCTTCTTAACAAAGAGGAGAAAAAATATTGAAGGCAACACAAACATAGGAGGTGTTTCTCTGCTGTCAGGTAGCAGCTATAGATTCACTTTTTTGTGATGTGATCCTATTTTATTGTATTTATTTTTTTGCTACACCTGTTCAGTGTATTGAGTTTAGTAGATTTTTACAGGAAAAACACAGGCTTGTGACTGTCATTCACATAGTTTCTTTGATTTGGGACTACTTGTTTTATTCAATGGAATATGGCAATCATAGCTATATGTAATTTTTACAGAAAATGGTGCTTTATTTCTTGCTTGAAAAATGGTCAGCTTACCTTCTGAGTTATCTGGTGTATTTATCTTCGGTACTGAGAGAGAGTTGCTGAACTATTATGTGGGCACTTTGTAATGTCTGATATTAGGTTACTTAGGGTAGAGATTTTAATAAAGGATTATGTGATTTAAAGAAAAAAAAAACCTGATAGACTTCAGTAGATCCTACTAATTTACTTTAAAATCTTTAGCTTTTTACATTCTCCTTGATAAATTCTTGGAGAGTCTTGGAAAGAACAGCTCCTTAATCACTAGTAATGCACTTCAAATAGTCCTATCATTTGAAATAATTGTTATTAAAATGGCATTTCCATTGCCCCAATATTGTACCTGAGTTTATTTATAATATGTTCTCCTCATTTTACTGAGAAGAGCCGTAAACCCAAAGCCAAGCTTTATTCTGATGAGACCCGTGCATCCACAATGCATAGCGGTGACTGAGTTCCAGGTTTAGGATATATACCTTAGTGAGTGTGTCAGCTAGGGCACTAATATGTGACTTTGCTATTTAAGGTGTTCCTGTGTATGGTAGACTCTCATTTGTCGATTTAGGAATTTTTGCTTCATCTTTAAATATCTTTAAATCTCTGTATTTCTCCTGTGGTTGCTGCTTCTGTTTGTTCTTCTTGGCTTCCTTCAGGGTCTGCTGTCAGATTAGCACAATGAACTAGTTCTGAAACTGCATGTTCTTCCCTCTGTTTCTGCCCCACCAAAAGAAACCCCAGAGCTGAAAATCCAGGTTAGAGAAATGTTCTCAGGATATTATTGAAAACAATTTTAGTTCGTTGTCTCTTTTTTTTGTATTCAAATATATTTCAGCCTCAAACTACAAACCCAGGTGCTGTGGGTTAATGTTGTTAACATCTATAGGAACTTTGCTCTTCATTGTAACACCGCTGTATTTTGCTGGGACCCTAGCTTTTGTCCTGAAAGTGCAAGACTTCTCAAAGCAATTATTTTGGGCAGTTTCTTAAACATGTTTTGTACACACAGAGCTACCAGTAAAATCTGTCATGACCTTGCCTGTGTTGAGATTGTAAGATCTGATCAGTTACTAGTTCATCCCTTGCAGTACAAAGCCCTGTGTGCTGGAGTCAGTCTTTAAATGTGTCTCCTCTGCCAGCTCTGTGAATTAACGCTGCAGAGCACACAAGTTGCATTTAAGAAGAATTTGCAGAGATCATAATGCTGCATGCATAAAACTGGTGCGCTGTTTGTTTGTAGGAAGTTTTAAGGACTGGGTGTTTGTTTAAGCTCTGCTCTGAATCCCTGAGCAAAAATTACTGGGATTGCAGTAAAGATTTTGTAGAGCTTCCCACAAGTCTTCCTCTTTAAACCCTTCTAAAGATTATTTGCACTATTTTTTTTAGTATCTCCTTGTTTCCATGCAAGAGTTTCACATCTGATCAAGGCTTATTAACTCCATATGTTGCAAGGAGCAGTCTAAGTTTGTTTATTTGTTTAAGCCTCAGTTAAAGGAAGTTGTATCTTTAAATACAGTACAGCAAGCCTGGAAGAGCTCCATGGAGGGGAAAGCACAGCTGTTCCATCATGGTCCGTCATGGTTTGCATGTGTCCCATAGGCAATATCTTTCTTAAACTCATCTTGTAAAATTACCCAATTCCTTATGCTTTTGTGTCTTTAGACTCACGGTAGTAGGTGGGTCTTTGTAATTTCTCTCTTTTTTTTTTTTTTTTTTTTCTTTGCTTTCCTCCTTCACCTGGTCTGTGTCTTACAGATCTGTCATGGCATACTCTGGTCTCATCTGATCCCTCGTAAGTGTAAATGTCAGTCCGTTTTCCCTGCAGCCTCTATCATCCAGCTGTAGTTTTCAATTGAAGCATTAACAGGAAAACACAAATTGCTAAAAAAGTTATTGACTAGCTTCTGACTTCCAGTAGTTAATTTTTCTTTGGGGTTAGACCCTGCAAAGTTCTGATGAGCTATCACAGGGATGTTGGAACTCAGTCTTCTGCCTAACATGACCTCCTTCTTCTAAAGGAATAATAAAATAAAAAAAACCCACTTGCATTCAATGACATTAATGAGAATTTCCCCCCCTGCAAACATATTGTAACTGTGAAATAACAAGGCAGAGAAACTTTAATGTTATGAAGTCTTTAAATGTCAATGCCATTTCTGAGACCATCGGGGCAGATTTAATGGCGGCCAAGGTCAACAAATGCTAACTGGTACCTCTCTTTTAGGGCCTTCAGGGACTCTTAATAGAGTCTCAGCCATGAAGTTAATTTGCGATGTGGACCTTTATTCTTAAACCTGCTCCTGATGATTATTTTGTACCATCTTCATTTGTGTGCTTAGATTTCTTAATATTCTCTTGTCTCTTCAGTCAATAAAACAAATGCTAAAATAAAGAAATTCTCAGTTATTTAATCTTTTGAGTATTCTTTTTTTGTTCCTTTTTACTTCTGTTTATGGGCTGCAGAAGGGTAGGTGTATGCTTTCTGTAGACTACCCTAATGTGGATCCTCTAAGAATTACCTTCAGGTCTGCCACCTTCTGCTGTCCTAGGAGGCTGGGAAACTGGCCACCTTGAAAGACTCTTTCTGTTGGTGCCCTAAGTGCTTTATCAGCAAAAGCAGGTGAGGTGGGAAACCAGAGACAGCTTGTAACCACAGGAATCTCTTACTTTCCCTTTTCTGTAATAGTTCTTCCTGTTGCTGGTCATCCCTTTATGTATTGTCTAGTTTAGATTAAAAGGACTTTGTAGCCTTTATTAGGTCTAGAAAATATTGCAGACAAGGATGGAAGCCTACAAATAATAAATAACAAAACTCCATCTTTTTGGCAGCATGTTGCATTTCTGCTCAGTTGCCCTGCCAGCCCCTCTGACTTTAAAATATTTTAATGTCCTGCACTTTTCACCCAGTCCAAGCACCCGGCTTTCCTCAGACATTTAGCACTGACATTAATGCAAATGCCTCCAACTCACTGGGCCCTTCGGGGCAAAAGATGACATGCTTGGCTTTCAATCACATGGCAGAGAGGATATATTTATATACACAAAACTGGAAATAATAAAATATCAGTATTCAGGTGCTAATCCATGTTAATTTACATTCTGGAAGTCTACAAGAAACTTGTAATTGGTTGTCTTGAAGGGCAGTAGAGTATATTTGGTATTTTGTTTATTTATAAAAAAGAATTTAAATTATACATATAAACATTGCATAGATTTGGATTATATTTCTCTTCTAATCGTCACTGGATGCTTGCTTGCATTTGTAAGTTCTAGTGTTTTGGGGCTTACTGGCTGTCTTCCACTCTATGTGGCAATACCTATCTATTGTAAGCATTGCCAGAGTGCAAATAATACTTCTTTTTCCATCAGTGGATACCAAATTTCCCTGCTAAACTGCTTTCACTGCAGTGCTTTTGTTATCTTCAACAAACCTGTTTTCTGTAATTAAAAAAATTAGATCTTTTTGAAAGGTCCCAAAGGCTGGAGGAGTTTAAATTCAGTATGTTATTGAAATTAATGCGCAGGTCTAGCAAAAGAAATGCGGGTGCCTGATTCACTGCTGCTCTGATGTGCATAAAATCTCAAATGCTTAACTGCCAAGCTGAACCGTAGTGCAAAGATACTCCAGGATGTAAGTAGGATTTTGATGTCTGTTACATAATATCCACGAGTATAACAAAACCACTAGAATTTGCTTGCACTGGGTTGACAAATGCGAATTACAGTTGCTTTCTTTCTTCAGAGTTTTATCAGAGTATAATCACTTGCCCAGCTTAATTGAAAAATCACTTACGTTTATAGCTGAACTTAAACATGTTTTGTGTTTAAATGACAGCTTTTGATGTACAGCCATTTTTTACAGAAAGTAGTTGGTTTTTATCTGTGTTTCTGTAAAGGTATTTCAAAAACTCTCATCAAATTTCCAGAGGTAAGTAATATCCCATTCAGTGCAAGGTGAAATGTTTTACATCAAATCTCCTGCTGTGTAATGGCCAATCAAAGAGTATTTATAGTGGCTGAATGGATTTTTTGGCTCAGTATTCAAAATTAAACATTTTCAAACCTTAACATTTAATGTTTTTTGCCACTCTTCAAGTTGATTTTATGTAACCCTAGATGCTCACAACTACTTGATACTCTGAAGCGACTCATTTTATGCTGAGGATCCTGCAGGCAGTAGTTTTACATTTATTACACTTGTGTAGATGGAATGAAATGTAGATTTGATAGCAGATTCGTGTCTATCTTCTGATAAACGTTTTCTCAGGTTTGGCTGTATGTCCATCAGCATGATGCAGCAAGTCTATTTCGGAGAGAACACCTTTACCAAGTGAAATTAATGAGCAAAGATAAAGTTTGGTAATTCATAGGAAATTGTTTCTCTTATTGCAGGTATCCAGTAAGAAGAGCTCATGCCAACAACCATCTCTGGAGCTAGATGGTTCCTACTTGGGTATTGGGGGACCTCAAACTTTTAATAAAAACAGCAGAGCATCACAGGCTGGAAGCCCAGCCCGTGTTGCATTGTCTCGGCCTTGCAGGAATAATCACGATTATGGGACTGAAATCCATTACAACCGTCGGGAGTGGCTGAAGGAATGTGTGGTAGAAAATGGCTTGCACGGAAAGTGTAACAACATAATTTCCCCAGCCAAGCAGAGGAACCCTCACCATGTGAAACCAGCTCAGGAGATGGACCAGAAAGCAAATGAATTTCAGAGCCTGTGCCCTCAGCAAATGAGTCACAGTTATGCCTGCAGGCATGTAGGGAGCTCGGGGAGCATGCAAGAGAGCCACCATGTCAGTCAGGTACTTAGAAGACACTCTGGGCCAGGTCAAAAAACCTGTGATTATTCTAGGCGCTCTCAAGTTTCTGGGCTGAATGACAGTGTGAACTCAGGGCCTAAAGAAACAGAGCAGGCTAAGAGGTTGTATGAAGAAAGAAGGCAGAAGCTGCTTCTGCAGAAAATGGAGCTGGAAATTGAAAAGGAACGACTCCAACATTTATTGGCTAAGCAAGAAGCAAACCTGCTCCTGAAACAACAGCAACTACACCAATCCCGTATGGATTATAACAGGTGATTTTGAGATTTATAATTTAAAAAAAACCATTAAAATTTCTAATGAACACATGGGAAATAGTTAATTAAATTGGGAGAATGGAACTGATAAAATCAGATAGGCAAGACCTGTGGCACAAATTCTCTCTAACAGTGATGTAGAGGAGAGGAGACTTTTTAGTATATTAGCATATACTGTTGGGAAACAGCATGACAGCTGTGGAAAGCAGCAGAGGATAACAGTATGTGGTAGAAAGAAAGGCACCAGAAAAGCAGTGCTAAAAGACTATGTAGGAAGAGAGTACTGGTAGAAGAAAATGTGAGGTTGATCTTGGTGGAGGTACTTGAAGGAATACAGACATTTGGCAAGACAGCAGTGTGAGCGTGGATGACATAGATGCAGCATTCCCTGATCTTTCCTTGGAGAGGTCGGTTTGAAGTATTGCACCTTCCTAGGTAGGGACATATATATATATATATATATATATAACTGTATGTATATGGAAAAGAAAGGGAGCTCTGTGTAGCAAGGACATTTTCTTTCCAGTGATGTTTGTTGAAGGAAGAATGTGAAGGCTGAGACACTATACATGCTTAAAACTAGAAGAAGGGAAAGGCAATAACCATAAAAATAGAGGATGTGACTTGAAAGGCCCGTGAGCTTGTCACAAAAGGTGAGGTAACACCTTCCTGACAATGTAAATGGGTTCTCTGGGAAAAAGGGAGAAACTGTTTTGTTGGTGTCATGTTACTAGAGTGAAGAGGAACAGTGAAAGGGAGCAGGTTATAGCAAGTTGAATTAGCCAGTGTAACCCAGTTGAGTGCTAGCATTTCAGCATTAGGAAGAGAAAGCAATGGGGAAAAATCTAGCAGTCTTTTAGAAGAAGCAATAGGAGAGTTTCACAAGGATGCTTCTTTCGATACTGTTTTTGTATGGCAACTGCTGACAGCATCCCGTGAGAGTCAGCGTTACGTGACCCACTTTCTACATTAACGTATTATAACCAACATGGAGGAATAGATCACTTTCTCTTCTTAATCCCAGCCCCCGAGTTACTTTTTGAACTCTAGAAGAGAATACTGTAATTTAGGTAGTCTTTTGTTTGTTGTCTTGGATTGTGGCTTACACTGACAATAATGTGTTTATATGGCTTAAAAAAATACCTGTCTTAAAGGCAATCACAGTTGTGTGTGTGGAAATGACTGAGGTCACAAACAAAGGATTATGACTTCAGGTGAGAATTAAGTAGGAACAGATGGATTCTTAATCATCAAATACCTTAATTCTATGCATGCATCCCTCTAATGAAAAACAAGTAGAATATGAAGGACATGCAGATGGAGTTTTTTGTGATTTTTTTTTTTTTTTCTGATGGATATTTTTCAGCATATGAGGTACCACAAGCCCAGAGAAAAATGGACCTTAAATATATCTATAATGATGTGCTCATTTATGCCATTATGCCTATTTTAGCCATTTTTTTCTCTGAAAAAACCTTCATGGTTTACAGAGCTGTAGTTACCCAAAAGAATTCTATGAAAGTAAATCCTATGTGATCAATCTGAGGACTCAGTATTTTTCTGATCTCTTTTCAGAGGTATAGGTGAAAGCACAGTTGCCATATTCTCGTTAAGAAAAATAACTAGAATATAGTGTGCTTGCACTTAAAAAATATTCGGTCACTTTAGAATGAAATGTTTGATATTTACAGGTAAATCTCTTGGACATCACAGTTCTGTTTCAGGCCTAGGTATATGATTCACTTTTGCACTTGATAACAGGTAATTTTATATACTACAAACAATAGAAATTTGTTTTGCTAAGCTTAAATAGCCTTAGCTTCATTGTCAGGAGGCTATAACCTAGTTAGTCTCTTAATGTCATGACAGTTTAAAAAAAGAACACAACAATGATCCATTTCCGGGTAGCATTTATTTTTGTCTGTCCTTCTGCATGGGTGGAGTGCTGGTTAAGGTCCATTCTGAGCTGCTGAAAGTATTGTCAATGAATGACAAGTAAAAGGTCTGACTGTAATTATTGGCTATTAACTCTTCTCCTCTTTTAGCAAAAGTATGAATTGATACTTTTTTTGGCCATGCTGCATCATAACTGCATTTTAATTTCCCACATTTCACTATTTAGCCTCAAGTGACCATAGTACTTTCAGTTTGCAGTTTCTATGTGTAATAGTTGCTCGGCTGTCAAAAATGGTGTGTGCAGGGAAAGGGGCAGTTCAGTGACCCCTCCTGATGCCAGCCACACCGGAGTACACAAATATGGGTAAATCCTGGAAACAGGAATTTTATTCAAATACAAAGGGAGAAGTACCTCTATTGTTGACTCTTCTATCTTCATTGGAGTGAAAAAAAAAAAGGGGAGGAGGTAATCTATTAAAAATGGAGCACCATCTGTGGACCCATCATTTCAGGAGCACAACCATCTAAAATGAATTCTACTTTTTCTGTATTTTATACACAGTACCTTTGAGCTCCCGTGCTGCTGGAGCTGTAATCTGAGCCCAACAGGGATGTTTGCTACTAGATGCTGTGAACATTTTCTTAAGGGAGCTGGTCCTTGAAAATCAGTAAACGAAATTTTTCTAACCTCTTCCCCAATGGTAACTCTTGGAAGCAAAGGTAGTGGACATAAGTAGCCTTCCAATACAGAAGCGTATTTGAAAGTGTGAAAACAATCATGAAAGCTACTGCATTTAATGTGATTAAGTGCTCTGTTTGTAGACACACAACTCACCTTTTTGTGTCAAGTTCCTGGTGTGATGATTTGACCAGCTGCAAAAAACAGCTAACTCTGCATTTTCAGGTTTAGAAGCCAAGTACCTGGTTCGGATATGCCCATTGATGAAGCACCTGGAGAACTTGCTCCGATGATGAACGGCAACAGCATGGGGCTGAGGTAATTTCTCTCTTCACTTCTAAGTACTTCGCAGTGTCAGTATATCTTCTTGACAGTGTGCTGTTGGCTGCCAAGTGTATTTGTTCATGTGTTCATTTCAGATTAAGAGCTGTTTTCTGCAGGAAAGGTAAAATTCGTTTGCTGTTTATGAATCAACTCAATAGTTATGCTGGCCTGTTATTGTTCGAGGTTTAGGGGGCGACTTCTTGTAGAGAACTCAGGTTTTGTGTGTCATCTCTTAAGGACACTAACCTAGCCCAGTGCTAAATGGAGTTTTCAGAAAATCTTAGCTTTTGTTCTTTGTTCTAGGTACGGCTTGTTATTTTTTCAATTAAGATAAGAACATCTCTTTAGTCTTGATTTGGACCTGATGTAAAAAAAATACATTATCCTTTAACGCCTAGATAGAAATGATCTCTTACTGTTGGTGACAATTACCTGTTTTTTAAGCAATGCTGTGTTGTACCACTGCTTCAGCACGATCAGAACAAACTACCACTGAAATAACTGGAAGTAGAGTTCAGCCAATATTTAGCTCTTCATCTCAATTTTGCATGCTTTTTAATACTTTAATCAATTATTGTGGGTTTTTTTTCTGTCCTACCCTGTTGCATCTCCTGTTAACACTGGAAGAACATTCAGGCTTATTAGAAAAGCAACAAATGAAAACTGTGCATTTGACAAGGTTTTTCTCCCTTTCTTAAAAAGTAACAGCTTCTTGTTCTATGCTTTAACTATGGATGTTCTTTTGACCAAAGTATCCTGTTTAGTGGACAAGATGAGCAGCTGTCCTTTGAATAGCCCCTTCTTTAGTGACAAGAGAAGACTTTAAAATAATAAGATTTTCTTTCCACTATGAGAATACTGGAAGAACTGTTTATTTATAAACTAAGGGTCTGATACTTTCATTTTTTTATAGTTTTGTGGGGGTTTTTTGGTTTTGTTTTTTGACATTAAGTGATACTGATTTTTTTTTTTGGGAGGGGGGGATCCCTCTTCACTGAAAAGGGATAAGACTTCTTTCTCCAGAGCAACAGGAGTTGTTAGTTTCCTTGGAATACTTCACTGCTTGACCAGGTGTTTGGCTGCTGTGAGTTACTGGCATATCCTTGTTGTATTCTGGTGATTTTTTTCACACATACTGAAGTAACCAAAGTGTGATTGCTGTAACAAAATAGATGGAGAGTCACGGTATGTTTAAGATACAGTAGCATTAAGGCCCTTGGAGAAAAATGTAACCTAGAACTTCTCTAGGGCTTCTTGGCAACAATTTACCAAAAACCTGCAAAAATCTACATAGCCTGTGAGGGAAAATGGGGAAAACCTGTGCTGTTAACAAAATGAGAGTTCCAGATTTCAAAAGGTTCCCCACCCTCTCATCATTCCCCTGGTTTAATTTACTGTAATTTTTCAAAGCTAGTATGTGTTCGTGCAGTCTCAAGTTGCCATGCCAGCTGGTTCTGAAGTTTGGCAGCAAAACACTTGGAAGTTTTTCTTTCTATATGCCATCTTCAGTTTCTCGAAGGTTACCAGACGAATGGTCCCTAAATAATTTACTCTAATGTAAGGCTGGAAGAGGCTACGGAAGACAAGTCCATTTGTCTCTTTTATGCATTTGAATATGTAAGTGATGTTTTCTTCAGTATCGAGAGAGGGCAAGTGTGTGGCTAGAGCTTAGAAAGGAGGAAGCACTGGTAGGAATACATTTTTTTTTTTTAACAGTCTTTTTTTTTTTTCTTTTTTTTTTTGTTTTGTTGTTGTTCTTTGTTTTTTAATTGACCTGCCAAATGGTTCTTGTTACAGCGAATACTGTGAGAACCCTGATGGAAAACTAGCCCTCTCTGACTTCCAGTTCATAGATGAGAGCTCCTCTAGCAAACCTCACAGCATGAAACTTGATTTCTGTCTTGAACTAAACAAAACTTAGATGAAAAATATCCTGGTATTTTAAAGGAAATGGTGAAAGTGCTTTAAACTTGCTGAAGTGAGATATTGGAGTTTAGAACTAAAATAAATAATATAATCAAGAACTGAAAAACATAGGATTTTTTTATAATTAACAGCTCATTTTGAGTTAATTATCCACAATTACGAAAATCTAATTGCAATTTATTCTCTGCTATCTGTGGGAAGAATTGTAGGCAAGGGAACGTGCATCACTGCCAGGCATAAATGCTATAGGATGGGTACAAATAATAGAGGAGACCTTAATGAAAAACAAAAAGCAAATAGGAGCGTGCAGCTGTGCCAGGCTATTGAAAGGTAATTGTAGTCAGAAATGAGATATGTACTTTAAAAGGCATCTTGTCATCTCCTGTAGGGATTAATTTTTTCCCTCCTTGAAAAAGGAAAAAAAAAAAAAAAGATTCCATGGGCAAATACAGTACAGAGTTTGATTTCTGATACGAATTTTTGTCATTGTCTGTGAAAAGGAAAACTTTTATCTTGGGGACTACAAGCTATAGCCAAATTTTCTAATGGATGCCTGTTTCATTTTCTCTCCTAAATGTGCCATTATGGTTTTTTTCATTATCAAAGTCAGCAAGCGTTGTCCATCTCAGCCTCTTTGGATGTTCCCGCTATGAATTTGCAGTGTTGAATTTGTTACTTCCCTGCTGGTTATGTTGAGGAGCTGTTGGGAAGAAATGTGTCTGTCCCTTTGCCTGCCTGCAGCTGGGCCGGCATGTGGGACCTGAAAAGTCTTCAGATGCAGGATCTGCAGTTCTCTAAGGTGCAGCAGTCAGAGCAAGTTTTACTGAGGACGGTTTTCAGTAGCTTCGAGTGCTCCTAAGTGAGCCCACAGCCAATTTTCAGCTATGGAGATAGTAACTTGTACAATTAATGGCAAGTTGTCTGTTGTCTGTATAATTTCTTTTCAAGTCTGCCCCAGGGTGCAAGATGCTTTAAAATATTCAAAATAAAAACATAACCTGATGCATTTGTTTAGCATAAACCAGCCTTTTACAAAGTGCTTTCCATCTCCCAGACGCAGATGCTTGGTACATGCTGAAGTACCCACTCCGTGAGTATTCAGTAGGATCAATACACCCAGCACCTGCTTTTGTGTGTGCTCCTGATGTCTACATCTGGGAAAGAAATTTTGAAGCAATCCATTCTTCTCTCCTTTATTTAGTCTTAACTTTGGATCTGAACGTCATGGAAATAAGACATATTTAATAACACCAACTAGAGAAGGTAGTGCTTGCTACTTTGCAAGCACCCCTCACCAGAGCTGTGCTGTGTGCCAAAATCTTAAACACACAAGGTGCCCTGATTTTCCAGTTCTTAGGTTTCCTGTACGGCTCTGCTGGTACAGTTTTCTACTGCCTTCTGTCTAACATGCATCTTTCCTTCAGCTTTCATACAACGCTGCCACTGTACCTCTACATGTACCTATGCAAAATGTTATAAATAGGAATTGCTGGGTACACAGCTATTGGATGGGTTTATGGTTATCTGCAGTCACTCTTTCAATATATGCTACCTGGTTAAAGGATTTCTTTCCTGGAGTATTAAAGATTTGTGGGTGGAATTTGCCAGCTTTAATTTCGTTGAAGGCTTTTTACGTTTGTGGGCTTCATTCTATACCACCTGTGTGTATTTTTTCCAGTTTGTATTTTTAGTTAGTGGAAAATATCAAACACAGAATTCATCAGTACTTTCCCTCTATTTGAATGCTCATTGCTATGGTGATAGTTCCAGGAAGGAATGCTGTCAGGGGTCTTTTAAAAGATTTTTATGTTTATGGTGAAACTATTTTTATTATCTTGTGAAAGAAGGTGACAATTATCTCCTGCTCCTTGTTTAATGCTTTGCTACAAACTCGATTTTTTTTGTGGCTTATTAGACATACAGGCATCTTTCTGTGGTGATGTGCAAGCATACTTCTGTGTTTTTGTCAAAATATTCAATGTAATTAAATAGATGTGCAGAGGAACGCAGACTCGCAGCTCCCTCTGCTGTCCCAGGCATATCCAGGTTTGATCACACAATCCCCATCTCCAACTAATTTAAAATTTAAATAAATATCACACACAATCACGTGGCTCTGCCCTCTCTGACCTGACTTGCGCTGGCCCCATTACTCCCATTTTTGAAGGAAACTGATATTTAAAAAACAGTGGCAATGGTAGCACCCATTTTATTTCCTGCTTGGAGTCTCCTTGTCAGTTCTTCATGCAGGTGTGCATTGCCTCTTGCGCCTCTAGAGGAGAAACTGTCACCAGTGCCACAACTGGCTAGTTGTCCAAGACTTGGTCTTGGCTCATCTATGAGTTGTCCTTGGTCTCTTGATGTATGCCTATGTGGTACTTGGCCAACTTCTAGGAATGTGTTGAGTACAATTTGTTGGGGGTTTTTCATCTATTTGCTGTTTTGGCAGACTGGCACATGAAATAAGACTGAAATCAACTGTGCTTGCAAATGGCCCATAAAATCTGTGTATCTGGAAGCCGCTTACCCACTTGTTAGTGCTCCTTTTGACACCCAAGTTACTATCTTGTTCCAGATAATTTTACATGGAAATTTGTATCATTTTTAGGTAGGATATTTGTGGGACGAACACTTGGTTGGCCAGTAAAAAAAGTACTTGCGGATCTGCCAATAGTGCAAATGCTGAATTAGATGCAGATACGAGTTTTTCTTTCTCTCATGGCGTTGTCTGACTGTGTATAGGCACAGCATCCCTCCAACAGATGGCTGCCAGAGTGTGTTGTGACGTAATGGGAGAGGATGATCAGAGTTAGATACACATTTTTGCTTCATTAGTGCCATGTGTAGACTCCAAAGGTAGTTGGTTTTCTTGTGCGGGGTGAAGGCTTTTGTTCTGATGTGGTTACTAAAGGCTTATTGCTGAATGGAGGGGTGGGGGTGGCAATTTTTTACATACCTCCATGCATGCATATTTATTTTTATTTTTATTTAAGGTAGGCAGTGATCCTTATCAGGCTGGGGTGCAATGAGTTCATTTCCCCTGACCTATGTGCTTCACTAATCTCATT